GGCTTGCTAACTCTCAGCTCCTGTCTGGCCCCTGTGCAATTTCCATAACATCTATAAACCAGGCCAACAGCAGCTGATTGTTTCCAGAGTCCTTGGAAAGACTGGGAGGAGAACTGTAATGCAACTGAGAAGAAAAGGGCTCTTAATGATTTGAGGAAGTGGCTGCTAAAATTGGCCCTTACCATGAGCTGGCTTCCTCCTGTACAAAGCCCGGAGTGAATTACTTTGCTTTAATGGGCTCAGCTGTAAAATGAAGGAACCATGCTGAGCAGCCTGGCAGGCCTTCAGCTTGGGAAAGTGTTAAGTGAGAATCACCACCTTGGCTAGATAAGCACAGGAGAGGCTTGGAGAGCCCACCTCCCTAAGGAGCACTATAAAAAGTCAGCAATGTTTCATGGAGGATTTGGGTCAAAAAGAAATTGCCTGCTTCAGGGCATTATGCTTCAGTAGAGAAACCAGAATGGGGCAGCCAGGCCCACCAGCGTCTTCCAAAACAAGATGGATGGAGCCACAAACCAAATGGGCATTTTAGCCAAAAGATAAACATCCAGTTCCCTGGATGTCCATGGCTCCTGGAAAAGAGCCCTCATGAGATCCTTGCTCAACATTTCTCTGTGCTTCAGTGATATAAAATCCTGGGCTCAAACACAAGCAAGGCTTTCCCATTATTCCTCCTTTTCCTTCATAAATGTGTTCCTTTAATTCACTGTCCCCTCATGTTTCTTGATAAAGGAAGCAAAGCATATCATTAAAAGGTGTTTTATTGATTCTGTGATTGCCAAAAACAAAGATAAAAGTAAAAATGAACACTAACTAGGCTCTACCATGTATGTAGACTGAGACTGGCTATGAGTTGCTTATCAGTATCCTCGTCTCAGTTTTTTGTTTTCTAACAGAAGAGAAAACGCAGCCTGTAAGTGGCCTAGGTTGAATTTGAGCAGAGACCTGAGCCCAGGTGTCCTTCACTCTGCTGTGCTGTCTTCTGACTTCCAAGCCAAATGCAAGCAATTGAAACATCTACAGCCCTGACCCAAAGTAGGCAGTTTTTAAGATTTTAGTCCCTTTGGTAAAGTTACTCACAATAAAAACTACTCCTTTGAGTATAAAGTTATGGATTTTGGATATACGCACACAGCCACAAGATATGGCATATTTTTACTATCCCTGAACCAACTCCACCACCACAGGACACTGGGTACATACTCTACCCACCTTGTAATTACACCTGCTACATCTACTTCCTGCCAAATTCCTTCCTGCCACTCTTTATAATCAGCTTCTTCCCCTTCGTGGCAACAAGTGATCTGCTTTCTACTTCCATAATTTTTCCCTTCCCAGAAAATATCTATCATCTTAAAATCCCTGGTGTTCACAAATCCAAAAGAGGCTGCCTATCCTTGGAGATCCTGTTCCAGGACTCCCAGAGAATGTGTGACACTGCAGATGGTACCAAACCCATATAGCATATAGAGTGTTCTTTTTCTTAGACATATATACTTATAACAAAGTTTAATTTATAAATTAGGCACAGTAAGAGATTAACAATAAACTAGTACTAAAATAGAACAATTATAACAATATGCTGTAATAAAAGTTATGTTCTGGGGCCGGGGATTTAGCTCAGCGGTTCCGCCATCTGCTTCAAAAGCGCAAGGACCCAAGTTTGATCCTCGGCACCAAAAAAAAAAAAAGTCATGTTCTCATCTTTCCTTTTTCTCTCTTATTGTCCTGTCAATTTTCTTTTTTTCTTTCTTCCTTTTTCTTTTTTTGGTTTTGAGACAGGGTCTTGCCAAGTAGTCTTGAACTCACTATGTAGCCCAGGCTGGCCTCGAACTCACTGTGATGCTCCTGCCTCAGCCTCCTGAGTGCTGGAATTACAGCCATGTGCTACTATGCCCAGTATTCTAACAATTTGAGCAATCTCAGCAAAAGATTCCACTTCTTTCCTTAAATGGGTAACTCATCATTTAGGTAAAAGAATAATTTTATGGCTTCTCTTCAGCAAATCTGAATTGCAATCACTAATACTCTCATGCTTTGGTGCCATACTAAGTAAAATGAGAATCACTTAAATATAGCATTGCAACATCATGACAATTGATCTGATACCCTCGTGGCTACTCAGTGACTAAGGAGAGGGTAGCATATACCTTGTAGATAAACTGGAAAGGGGATGATTCACATTCTAGATGGTCCAGGACAGGAAACCACAAGATTTCATTATGCTACTCAGAAAAACTTATGAATTGTTTATCTATGGAACTTTCCATTTAATATTTCTAAACCGTAGTTGACAATGGGCCCCTAAAACTTCAGATAGTGAAACTGCATACCAGGAACAATTAGAGTATAAAATCACAACTGGAACAGGGAACAGGAGAATGATCCTGAAAGCCAGCAAAAGCTTTAGGGCTAGGGATTTAGCTCAGTGGTGCCGCCGCCTGCCTCACAAGTGTAAGGTCCCGAGTTCAATGCCCGGTACCAAAAAAAAAAAGCTTTGATGTCTCCACTGGTGCACTTCCTCCAAGAAACAAATAACAGGACACCTTAGCAGTAAGTAGAGAGGGCCAGAAGGTCTCAAGAGGGCTGAAGCCTGGAGAAGGAGCCAATGCATGACTCCACTCTCAGTCACAGGAAACTCATGAGGTGATCTCATGATAATTCTTCTTTTCACTCAGCCTCAACCTTAAGTTCTAGACTTTTAGCAAATACAGCTCAGTTTTAAAATTGTCAGGTGCTTATGAGCTGATGGATGAAGAACACCCCTCTATACCTGGGAAAGTCATCCCCAGAGAGCCTGGAGAATAAGAGAGACCAGTGGGGAGGAAGGGAAGAGGCTTAAGGCATGCTATCCCCAAACAAGGCAGGCTGGTCCCAGAGGAAGCAGCAGAAGCAGGGAAGTCTCTCTGACAACCTTCTCTCTCCCCTGAAGCAAGACACAGGAATTCATGGACCTCACTCTGAAACCCATCCTAAGATCCTCACATTTCAGATGCCCTTTCTACACCCTGAGGAACAGCCTTACTTCTGAAGACACAAGGACACAGGGAGGAATCCAAATGACAGGGCTTGCCTTGGTTCCCCAGGTCATTACCATTGGATCACACCTCCTTAGTCCACTACTGTTTGTGTTTCCATATGTGACTCTGGGTCCTCATTCCTGTGTCATTTAAGACTTACAATAAACAAACTTGTATGTTTTTCTCTTGGCTTTTATTATAGGTGCCGACTCAGCTGCAAACCTTTCGATGGTTGAGGGACAGATACTATATTTTCTCTCTGCAGCAGGAAAGGAAGGAAGGGACTCTGGCAGAAGCCAGCTCAGCTGAATCAGCCCTGACTTCCAGCAGTGTCCCTGACCTGGAAGACACATTCACTCCTGGCATGGTTCTTTGCCCAGCACCAAGCTTCTGCTAGGCCCTGATATCATTTGGATGTGGAGTGTGCCCCAAAGGACATGTGTTAAAGGCCTGGTTCCTGGCTTGTGGCACTACTGGGAGGAGACAGAATCTTTAAGAGATGGGGCCTGGTGGGAGGTCATTAGGTCCTCACAGGGGACTTTGGGACCCCAGACCTTTTCTCTTTCTCTCTTTGCATCCTAGCCATGAGGTGAGCAGCCTTGTATTGACATGCTTCTGTCACGATGTGTTACTACAGGTCCAAAGCAACGGAGCCAACTGATGGCAGACTGAAAACTCCAAAGCTATGATCCAATGAAACCTTATCTTGTTACAAGTGATTATGTCCAATATCTGTAACAGTAACAGGAAGCTGACTGACATAGAGCATGCATACAAGGAGAAGCCAGTCCTACCTTCAAAGGTGTGGAAGGGCCAGGGATGTAGCTCAGTGGCGCTGGGCCTGCCTTGCAAGTGCAAGGTCCTGAGTTCGATCCCCAGTACTGGAAAAAAAAAAGTACTTCAAAGGTGCAGCCCCAGGGTCCAGTCCCTGCCACACAGGGCCCCTTCCCCAGCCTTAGATGCTTAGATGGATACTCTAACTATCCACCTGCAGCCAGGGGCATGCTTTCAGCGCCTCTACCCAGAGCACTCAAGGGCAAGCTTCGGAGTGTGAAAACTGTCAGATCAAAATGGAGTTACTTGTGTCACAAGCCTCAATCAAAAATAGATAAATCCCCAAGGTGACAGATGACCACAATTGTCACAGGAGTGTGCACAAGCTAGGAACTCAGCTGAAGTTGAAGGTCAACCCTGAGATGGCCGAGCCAAGCAGCCCATGCAGCCGGTTTGCCAGACTTTAATTTCCTCTTCACACACAGAGAACCTGCAGGCAAGGAGCTCTGATGCCTCAGATCAAGACAGGAAAAAACCCCAGGGCCTTTCACAGAAATGACTCTAGTTAGGGTGAGAGGGAGAAAGTCGGGGGGGGGGCAGGGGAAGCCCTCTCTGTTCATCAAGGTCATACTCCAGAGAAAAGAATTAAACAGACCCACATTTTAATTCGTGATACATGTATCTCAGGCAAGTATTAAGGATTCTTTGGTGGTTTTTTAATGAACAGACCACATTATAGACATTTATTATCATTTATTATGATCTGGTTTGGGTAATAATGCATGAGATATACACAAATATTTGAATGTCTGATTCTAATAAATAATACATTGCAATATAGACGTTCTAAGTATATAATTAAGTATAATGTACAATAACAACCTATACAATAACCATGTTATATATGACATGTATAATGTATGCCATATAATAATTCTATATTAACTTGTATATTCTAACTCAAGCCATTGAACTAGAATAAAAATAAAACTAGTATGCTAACAGTTTTTCTCTTTGCTCTTATATATTTTAAACATCTACCCCAAGTTGTGCATTATTTAGTCATCATTCAAAAATTATTCACCCTTAATTAATTGTGTGTAGTGTGATAGAAAGCCCTCCCAATAATGACTGCACCCACGGGGCACATGGTCCCCCAGTACCGTCAGAAGGGGATCTTTCTGGGGCCATGTAGGAAGGACATACCTGCTTCCATTCACCTCCAGTACAGGGCACACAGATGGTCAGAGGAGCCCTCCATCCATGGGACACCTGAAGAGGGCTCTTCCTCCCGTCTTCGGAGGAGTGCCTGGGAAGGCCAGCTAGGGTGGCTGTCCAGGCAGCTGCCCCTGTGTCATCCACCTGCTGCTCATCTTCAACAGACAGGTTGCCCCCTGCCTCCTGAAGCTCCAGGCTCTGGACCAGCAGCCGGCAAGCCTCCAAGTCAGCTTCCCACACTCTTCCCAGCAGCGGACACTTGCAGCTAAGACATAAGACACAGAAGCATCAAAATTAACTGAATGAAGTCCTGCCCTACCAAGTCCCCAGCTTGTCCACCTGAGTAAAAGTCAACTGCTTGTCTTACACTTACAATGTAATTTCACATGGTGATGGAGTATTCCAGCCAGAGGACTCAGAGGGCCTGACTCTGATCCCTCAGGTCACTGATAAGTGACAGTCCTTCCCAGATGCTGGACTTGCAAAGCCATCCTGAGTCCTCTTTGTCTCTCCAGACAAAGTCACCCAAAACCACAGCTTCTCCTGTCAGGGCTCCAGGGTACTGATGTTGAGTGGCCCTCAGACCCACCCAGGTCCCTGGCTGGGCACTTCCACAAGTGTTGCTCCATGCCTAGACTGTCACCTGCCACCCACATATACCCTGTCATTCCACCCCAACATGTCACATATACCATGTCCCCCTGCCACCCCAACAACAAATACATACCTTGTCAACCACCATCCCACTAGCACATATATACTTGTCACCCACCACACACACTTGATTTAGGAAACCTTTCCTAGGGTTTCCTGTCCTCAACCAGGTATGATGATGGTCTCTTATCACCCTGTGCTTCTCCTTCAGAGAACAGGTCACATTTACATCATTTATGTGATTTTTCCCTCTCTCTCTGTGGGCAGGGATTATATCCATCTTGTTCATTCTACTGCTGGAACCTCCTGGCATGAGTCATGAGCTCAGGCTCTCAGGGTGTCCAACACATGATGAGTGGACAGACAGGGTGGCTCAGACCATGACAACTGCTGCTCAGCCCTAGCGATGGAGGACAGTAGGAAGAAGTGACTGACCAGGAGGATGGACACCTGTCTCTCAAGGGGAAGAACATACCTCTCCAGGGATACTTCTTTATCTCAGAGCCATTGCAGCTATGAGGAGTGGGGACTCGTTGTCAACAACATTTCTACTGTTCATGAGGAGCCAAAACTTTTGGTATTTAAATTAAAATATGTATTTTTCATCCATCCATGCACATTCATATCAGATATTCTCTACACAACTGCCTTCCATTTAGTAAGTCTTCTTTTTCCCATGTCTAATCTGCCATTTAATCAAGCCACCTTTCGTGTCCCAAATTTTAGTTACCTTTCATTTTGATTTTCTATTTTATTTTCTCTTATATATTCCAGTTCTCTGTTGAAATTCTCCAATGCGTCCTCTATTTTCTTTAACATACCAATCATCATTATTTTAAAGCCCATGTCAGTAAATGATGATAACAGAAAGAAAAAAGAAAGAATGAGGCAGGATGAATATTTTAAATTCATCAGCTAAGAATTTTCAAGTAGTGATGAGAGACGTAAAATGACACATTTAGGAAACTGGAAAAATATCAAGGAAGAAACAGACCCCAGCCTCTCACAGTGAAACTCCTGCTCACCAGAGCAAAATAGCACAAAACTCTGAGAGGCAGCCAGAGAGGGAAAAGAAGACATATCAACTTCAAAGGAACGAAAATACAGGTGACAAAAATGGTGGAAGCCAGAAGACAATCAAACACCAGCATTAAAATGCTGCAAGAAATTAAGAGCCAATCTAGAATTATACAATTATTTTTAATTCCCTTTAAAATAAAGCTAAAATAAAGACATTTTCAGATTACCAAAAACCAAAGTATTCCCCAGCAGTACCTCCATAATGAAGAAAATGAGCCAGCTAGAAAAAAAGACATGGATCTAGGAGGGAAGAGCCACCGGAGGAGCAGGTGCATGGTGGGTCTGAATATGGGGCATGTGACTGCAGTAAGGATCTCTTCTGTGGAATTAAAATACCACACAAACCAGCAACACAACTTGTAGATATATTCTCAACCAGATATATACAAAACAAATTCTTGATATTTGCACCTGTGATGCTCTATAAAGTCACTACAGACCCTGAATTAGCAAATCCTGCAGCACAGCTTTCAGAGGAAATACAAGATCACATTCCTGTGAGCCTCAGGCCACATCTTTGTCCACCAGTCAATACATAACCTCGTTTCATGTGTGTGTCTATTTAACAACACCTTATTTAATATATATTATTGATCCATTAACAGGGAACTAAGAGGCAACAGGATTATAAACCATGCTCAGAAAAAGCTTTGCTAATGCATATTAAAAGATATCTCTTTTCATAAGACACATCACAACTTTCTCATGCTTAAGAACACCAAGGCAGCACTTCAGCCTTGCACTCTCAGGTCATGTTCAAAAATAAAATCACGAGCAAAAACACAAAAATGAGAAAGACCTTCCACTGAACAGACAGCCAAAGGTCACTGGTTTACAGAAAGAGAGCTGAGACAGGAAGGCAGAACATAGTCCTCTCTCCAACCTTGATGAGGAACCTACACATCAGAAGACTCAAACTTTCTGGCCAGTCTGTACATGTCTGCCACTGATGGTGAAAACTCTGCAAGTAATGATTTTGAAGTTTTTAATATATTTTAGGGAGCAGACAAGTCACAAATACAAACTATGAAGATCAAATATGTATATATGAAATCATGTAATATTATTTGTAAAAAAGCTGAAGAGGGAATAAAATGTTGTCTTAGTTACTTTCTTGTTGCTAGGACAAAATACCCAATTAAAGGAAGATTTATTTTAGCTCACAGTTTTCAGAGGTTTCAGTCCATAGCCAGTTACTCTAAGGCAGGATGGCACAGCAGAGGAGCACCGCAGCGAAGAAACAGTCCATGGCGTGGCAGGCAGAAAGAAGAAAGCAACAAGCCTCCCTTTTTCTTTTTTATTCCATCTAGGCTACAAGCCTGTTGGTTGGTGCTACCCATTTCCAGAGTGGGTCTTCTCATCATCCACACCCAGAACTATGCTAAACCAATCAGTGGACTAATCCACTTATCACACCTTTAATCCAAGATCACACACCCATGATCCAGCTACTCCCAAAAGTCCCACCTATGAGCATATGAGCCTTTGCAGGACATCTAGATATAACCCATAACAAGTGTCCATAAATAGAAGGATGGACAGATTTTGTAATATCCACTCTATGGATTATCACGCTGTGAAGGCGAAGAGATTATTGCTGTTTGCAATAATATGGATGAATTTCATAAACATAAGGTTATGCAAAAATAGACACATTAGAAACACATTGATTCCATTTATATTATAGCTTTAAAGATAGCAAAACAATCCATGGTATTAAAAGCCTGATAAAAAAATAAAAATAAATAAAAGCCCAATAGCAGCTATCTTTGGGAAAAGGAGTCACAACAGGGAGGGCACCCACAGCTCCTGGGGTGCAGGAAGAGTTTTATTTCTTGGCAGCAGCAGACTTGCTAGTGCACTCGATTCATGAAGATTCATCAAGCAGCACATACATAACGTGTGTACTTTGTGTACATGCGCTGTGTCAGTCTGATATAACAGAGAGGATGGGAAAAGACGGCTTCCTTAACAGTGTGAAGGGCAAGAGGGCCAGGCAGGTCTGGAGCCCACAAGGGGAGACAGCCCCAAAGCCCAGACTTCAGAGCTTCCCAGTTTCCTAATTAGCCAGTCTTACACTTGTGGTGCCCTGCAATTTGAATTTGACTTTCTCCACTGAGATCGGCTCATAGCTGCTTGGATTTTTTTTCAGTTGTCTTTGCACAACCATTTCCTGTCCATTCCTTTCTTAAGACCCCAGTCCTTTCTTAGGCATTTATGGGAGGAGACATTTTATTGCCATTTCTGTATATTTAACTTTATCTTCTACTCAAAATTTCTATTTCTTCTTGTGTCCATTCCAACATTTTATAGCCTCTATAGAAAGTAACTCATTTCCTCATGGATTTTAAATGCATTGCTATGTGTTTGTTCATAACTTTAAAAACTATTTTTTAAATCTCCTGTGTTTGCAGCTCTCTCTCCTTTCCATTCTGTAATTTATTTACCTTCTGATTTATCTCATTCAGTCTTATCAGGTTTACTATCTTATAAATCATTTCAAAGAACTGCTTTTGCTTCATTGATCCTTGATATTGATTTTTGTTCTCTATTTCATTGACTTCTGTACTTATCTCTATGTTTTCTTTTTCTCCTTTCTTTGGATTTATTATCTCACTTTTTATTAGGTTTTGTCAAGTACCTTACTCATTTTTCTTTCTCTGATTTTCCTCTCTTGCTTATTTTAATGTCATAAAAGTGTAAAGTTCTGTACTTTTGGCTCAGTAATTTTTAATTATATCCACACATGTTTATTTAAAATTTTGAATTATTAAGCATTTTGCTATTTAAATTTAAATAAATTCTTTAACCACAATCATACATGTTTACTTAAATTTTTAAGTAATTAAATATGTTAAATACACAGAAAAATATGGAAAATAATTTTTTAAAAAATACTTTGTACCTGCTATCAAACTTATCAACTTTTAATATTTACCTATATTTACATGGGATGTGTTTCCAAGATTTACAACATTACTGTCATGCAGATGTCACAGATGGCCTTTCTTTGTTTTTCCTCTTGATTTCCTTTTTAATGTTGGACCAGTTAGTACCTTGCTTTCCAGTTTCTGGAGAGAAAGAAGCCTAACACTTGCACTCTGCTGAGAAGTCTGAGGACGTTTCTTATCCTTTTCAATTGTTCCATTCTTAGGATTTTCTCCCTATCTTTGTTTTACATCAGTTTCATTACAAACTCTGACATCCCCACCCCACCTGCTAGTCCTGATTTGTGCTCTATGAAGCCTGTCAGCCTGAGATCTTAGGTCTTGTCCTTTCTCCAGGTATTTTACCGTCATTATTTCCTCAAGTATCTCCTCCTTTCCCTGATTGATTGTTCTCTTCCCTCTGGGATTCCCTTCACAGAAATGCTGATCCACACACTTTTCCTGTATTGTGTGATTATCTCCCAGCCCACTGCCTCTCTGACTGCTCCTGGCCTTGCACATTCCCACATGATCTGGCTTGACAACTGATTCTTCAGTGTAATCCTTTCGGCATTCAAACTCAACTCACTGATATTTTAAAAAA